TCAAAACTCGGGTATCTTCTTTTTGCTTTTGGTGGTGGGTTTGGTTCTTCGTTTCACTTACATTTCACGCATCCATAGCCCACATCAACACTGAAACGGTCAGAAAGATCAATGAAAATATTCAAGCGCATAAAATTTTATTTAGCAAAAGATGTTCATCTATATTTTTATACATTAACGTTGTTTTCTAAAGCTTCAACCTTTAAATAATATTTTCATTCTTGAATATCAATAAAATAATATTATGATAAATACATAATAATACTAATAAAAAAAGCATCCCCATTATGGCATCCCAAAGTTTGTATTAAGCAAGAACAATATGTTATTTAGCTTGAGAAGTAAGAAATCGAATAGTTCGTTCCATTTCGACGATATCAGGATGTCCAGAAGGTAAATGATTACGATAAATTTCAACTGCTTTTTCATAATATGCTAATGCTTGACTCAATTCACCTCTAGATTTGTACGTACTAGCCATGCCACGATAATCTGATGCTATATCTAAATGATCAGGTGGAAGACAATTTAATTTAATTTTGAGTGAAATATTGTAATGTCCCAATGCTAAATAATAATGACAGAGTAATAAACGAATATGAGCAACTTTGCTATGTGCTGTTCCCAAATCAGGATGATCAGGTGGAAGAGATTTTTGACAAATATTTAATGCTTTTTCATAATAATTAAGTGCTTGAAAATATTTTTTTTCCTTTTCATAGACAGCACCAATCTTATCCATACATTCTGCTATAACTAAATGATTTTCATCATAAACTCGTTTGTAAATAGCCAAAGCTTTATTATATGAATCGAGTGCACGTTTAAAATCATCTTTTTTCCAATAAATATTCCCAATAATATTATGACTATCAGCAAGACGAACATCATCAGATTGTAATGTACGTGCTAATAATTCATGTAATTTTTCGTACCATTCAAGACTTAAGTCACAATCACCTTTATCAGCAGCAACATTACCAAGTGCACGATAACAAGTAGCGAGATCTTGATCATTTGTTGGTAGATCATCAAGTACACGAAGATAAAATTTTTTTGCATCATCAAAACTTCCCATGTCACATAGAACTTGACCAAATGAGAAAAAATCCATATCTTTACCATCAAATTCTTTATTAAGATATCTCAAAGCATTCTTCAAATCCTGATTATTTTCATTGCATAAAACTAATCGAATAATACATGGTTGATTTTCATCATGTTGAATTTCTGCTATTTGAAAAATTGAACCTATCATCATCAAAACTTCTTGCTGACCGAAACAATAACTAAGCCAAATAATATTAGCAAATGGTTTCATATTGTTAACACGAGGATCAGCATCGATTTCGAATAATACTCGCTGCATCTCGAATTCATCTGAACTATCCATTGTATCAAAATATGATAATGATACTTCTCGATCAATCGTAGTCGAAAGAAATGTATTTATCATAAGAAAACCACCAATAGCACGTTTCAATAATTGTACTTCATCATTGCTAAGTAATTGAGCACGATAAAGACGAGTAGGTTGTGAACATTGATTTTTTAGAAGTTGTTGTTGAATATCAAAAATAAAGAAACGTAATAGAAAGAGTACATCGATATTTTGTACTCGTAAAGCTTTATTTAACATTCGATATAGAAAAGATTGTCGTGTATACCATCTTAATGCACGTGCTGTAGAATAATTTTGTTGAAATTCACGAATAACAGCTAATTCAGCTTTATTATCTTTATATTCTTCTTCACATAAACCAATAAATTTTTCCATATCAGCTGTAACATCTTTCATTCGAAGTAAACAATCGATAAGTAGATGTGAACGTATGAATTGATTATTGAATTTATAACTAACATTAGCATCGAAAATACTTATTGATAATGGTTCATCTATTTTATTATGACTTCTTCGAGCTCGATCGGATTTTATTTGAGCAACTAGTACATCTAATTGTGTACTCGTTGCTTTGATCTAAAACAAAATACGATATAAAATGTAAGCACTTCGTCAAAACATCTACAATATATAGGGATCCTAACAATTTCTCAGTACTAACTTGACTTTGCAGAGTTTTGGGGTTTTCTTTGGAACAACAAAGAACTCTATTGGATAAGATGACTAATCTTAGTGTAATAAGTCATGTATGTCGTTTTATAGAGCAACTCACAATGCATCAAATGGTATATAAAAAGTTGAATTTTAAGCAAGTTTTAACTTTCTGAGTAGCCATATATCAGTTAAGGGATATTATAGCAATTACAGGTTATATAATCCAATATTATGAGTTAGTCAATCTTTGCAGTCAAATCCTTTGCATTTATTTTTAGCTACTCTAATGTTTGATTTTTATACTGTTGTAAATTCTTTGATATTGTTTCTGAGAGTAAAGACGATCAACTGTGCAAATTTCTCATAAATTGTGTACTATCAAGCTCTATGAGTATACCAATTGATTGTCCTTTCAACTGAAGGATGTCGTATAGTCAAATCGACCTATCAATGCCTAAAATGCATCAATTATTCGAGATCTAAGTATAGAGAAGTCGACGAGTTTTATGATAAATACTTTTTGAGAGAAAACATTTCTATCTATGAATTATAAGTTCGTCATACCCTATTATTTGACATATATGGATGTTCTAAAAATAGCAAAAATATTTTTCTTTTTCGGACTTGAGGGAGACAGGGTTTACGAAAATATACAAAAATATTTGATTCTCACAAGAGACCTAACATACATTGAATCTAATGGAACTTCATACTCTAATCACACTTAGCTACTCAGAATCTAAATTCGCAAGGGACAACATAAAATAAAAATTAATCTTTGTAATGATTTATCGCCGTAGCCAGCTCCAGGAGTCTGAAAGCGAACAAAATTGCTTTTGCCATTTTCAAAATGTTCATATATATTAAATGATAGGACATGGCGAACTTATAATTCATAGATAGAAACTTTTTCATTCAAAAAATATTTATCTCAAAAACTCATCGATTTTTTTCATATTTAGATCTCAAATAATTGGCGCTTTTTAAGTATTGATAGGCTGATTTGACTATGACATGTCTCAATTCAGAGGACAATCATTTAGTATACTTATAGAGCTTGGTGGTACACAATTTATGAGAAAATTGCACAGTTGATCGTCTTTACCTTCAGAAGCAATATCGAAGAATTTACAACATCATAAAAACAAAAAATTAGAGAACCTAAAAAATTTCTAAGATTTCAAGTACCAAGAAAGCAATTGCGAGAATTATTAAATAAAACTCTACTGAGTTGACTTTAAAAAAAATTATAAAGATTATATTTGGACACAGACTAACATATAATATTCGTTTATATTGCCCACAATTGTTATAATATCCCTTAACGTGTATATAAAACATCTCAAAAACGTTAAAATTTGATGAAAATTTAACTTCCTCTATATACCATTCGATTTAATTTTTTCATTTTCAGTAAATATTACAGAAACATCATGTATACACAAGTATTTACACTAACTACTGTAGTTCTATTTTACGAAAAAACCATCCTTTCATATAAATCAAAGCTCGATATTAAATAAATTTTTTCTTTACCTTTTTAAAATCCTTAATCCATTGTCCACCTCGTTTATTATCATTGCTATAGATATAAATTGAAAATATTTGTCGAAGTTGATGAATACGTGGCACTAATTCTTGACCTAATTGATTATTGACAATGAGAATAATTCGATCGTGTTCAGGTACAGATTGAATAAATTGTTCACAATCATCACTATTTTTATATGTTCTTATATAATTTATAGATGCACGAAGTCGTTGTTGTGCATCAACATATTCCTTTACATCGTTCACTAAACGATCTAACCAAATAATAGAATATGTTTCAAGATTATAATATTTTAGATTGCTTGACAATTTATCAGCAGTTGGAATAGATGAAAGTTTTACTATCTCTACTCTATAATATATAAAAAGATTCAAATAATTTAATTTTCAAAATTTTAATATTGACACTTACAACTGTGCCTTTTCAGTCATGATCTTCGAATTGAATTTACTAAATCAGTTATGATATTCAAAATAAAACCACAAGAAAATATGAATGTTGGTAAGAACAAAGGACAAATAAACAAATGATTGACAAAAGCCTTGTTTTTAAACGAGTTATACAAGCCTTTAGGGGAATCAAGCATAATGTGTATGATCGCATGCTTGGTTATTTATTAAATTTTTTTATTGAACAGTTCTTTTCTTGTAATCATTAGCAGATATGTTCCCTTTGTAGTTCTTAGAATTAATTTAAAACGACCAGAGTATTTATTGTTTTGCTATTTGAACTCATATATAGATTGTTGACAAGAAGAAAAATGAAAGAATTTGATTAATAATACTCGTAGAAAAATAAATGATTAATATCACCTGAGACTGTTACACTCAACCAAAAAGAAAAAAGAAAATATCCAAATCGAAATAAGAAAATATAAAAATAAGTTCTAGATTTGTGTATGATGCCTTACATATTATCCATAGAACTGTTGTGTTCGTCATATTTTTTCATAAGATTTAATCAAAAAGTTGTTTCATCAGTTATTTAATCAGTTTGAATGAAGTAATCAACATCTTATCATCAGTTTGTCATTAACGACTTTAATACGATACTGAACACATCAAATTAATCTGTCTTGCAAACTCATCACATTTGAAGAATATACTAAAATGACACACTTTAAATCTATGCAATGAAAATGTTTGATCTAATTCTCAACTAAACATATAATAGTATTTTCCATAGTAAAAAAAAAGATACGTTTATTAATCCAGACAAGTGTCAAATATAGTTTGACTCATATAAATATAAATTTAATAATTAATAAGATCATTTCTCAATGTTGATGATTCCAATCCGATTTAAATTTATTATGTTCATATTTTACAATAGACATTAATTGATCTGACATACAAACCAATATGAGTACGGACGAAAAAAAAAAAATACTGATTATTCATATTTGTCATTAATCATTTTAATAATATGTTTTACTGTACCATTGATAACTAATCGTTCTTCTTTATTAGTCAATGATCGTTCAACAAATGGATAATATTCACGTAATTCTTTACAATCAATTGTTGATTTTAATTCATTACTATAATCAATATCTTTAAGTCTTTCATATTTATGTGACCAAGGACCATTATAACATTCATAATCATATGTTGTCCAATTAACACTAATAAAATACTCATGTGGAGATTTAGGTGCTGGTAACCATAATGATCCAAGTGGACGAAATTTTAATGGAAATATATTTTGTTTTGATATACTTGAAATATGTTGCATATTTTCTTGCCATATATGTGTTTTATTTTCATGATAAAAAATTAAATCAACAAATGGATAACGCCATGGATATTGACTAAAACGTGGTGAGGATGAAAAATAAAATTTATAATATTCAAATTCTTTTGGTGAATCCCAACGACGATGAAATTCAATATAATATGGTGATGATAATGTTTCTAATTGAATAGCCATATTAAGACGACGTTTAAGTCGAATAGACATTAATAAATCAATATCATCATCCCATGGTATTATATCATGATGACGCCATGAACCTATCTCAATTATATTAATAAATAATTAAATAAAAACAAAAGAAACAAATATAGTTACCTAATAATGTTCCATCGATCATCATATATTCAAGTGAATATTTTTTTGTTAATTGATCGAAACGTTTTAATAATTGCATCATTAAATTATGTTCACATTTAGTTACAAGTCGAGGCATTGATGGAGCTGATCGCCAATTATCATAATCATATGGAATTATATTTAGTTCAAATGATGTTTTATTTGGTTGATTAAGTTCAAATAGAATTATTGAAGTTTTATTGTTTGTCTTTTTTCTATTTAATCGTTGAGAATTAATTCTTCCGTAACAATTAAATCTATTATGATAAACATCTTCTAAATTTAATAATAAAAGTGGATGAGAAGGTGTTGTAGTTGTTGAATTTTGATCATTCTTATATTCATTTGTAATCAACTTATTTATTGATGTTGTCGTGGTTAAAAAATTCATAAATGTAAATAGAATGGAGAGTAATAAAAAACTGATACAAAACGAACGTATATGACTAGGTAAAAATATTGATGATGACAAAAAATAACAACAAAAGCAAGGTGTCATATTTATATCTTTATTATCTTATGGATTTGCCCAACTGTTATATTGTATGCAGTTGGACATAAGCCAGATAGAGACAAGATAAATGAAGAGAAGAAAAAAAGAAAGAAAGTTTGACCGAGTTATAAGTCATGTTGCTCTCTTCTTTTTTTCCTTCTGTTCATATATGTGAAAGACGAAAAGACAGGCGAACAATAAGACTAAATGGTTCACAAATATGATAAAAAGAACCAAATAGACTGAACTAGAATAAAAGAAAAAAAAAGCACGCAAAGACTAACTAATCCTTACTATTATTTATCGTCGATGAATAATATGTTTTAAGATTGTCTGTTGAATATAGCTAGACAAAAAAAAGAATAGCTTCTAATATTTTGTTCGAAATAAATAGAATTTCAAATTGAATGATCATTTTTATTTATCGATATTCTTGAAAACGAGCACCAACAAATCGAATAAGACCATTATTTTTAAATGATAAACTCTCTAATGTTGCATTTGGATAACAATGTAAATCTATTCCTTTATAAACAAGACGTTGCCCATTTGGTGGAACAAAAAATAATTCATCAAGTTTCATTTGTAAATCTCGTACACAAATTGGTTGATGTGATATTATAGCTATTTGATGAATATCAGCTGCATATTCAATTTGTGCTTTCATATGATATTGGTAGGCATGGTCATTCGTATTTTTGTTTTGCTATAAATACGTCATTGTTATAAATAGAAAAAAAAAATTACCTTAGCTTACTAAATAATCTCTCATGGGATAAGTTTGCTATACTTTTTTGTAGTTATTGAACACAAAAGAACAAAAAAACAATGAAGAGTAATTATTTGTATTGAATACTAAAAAGAAAACACGCGCGTTGATTAAATAACCAATGTTTCCTTCTGGGATGCTTTGCATGTAGAACTTTTCTTTTAACATCAATATCTGAAGCAGTTTGAATGTATTCATAATTTGAAATATAAACTCTGCAGGATAACCAGAATTTAGTGAAAATAATTAATGGTGAAATAGTAAAAGTATTTTATGTGTACATGTTTGCAATATTATGAATTGTTTTTCTCCACGAGATGATTAAATATGTCTTTATATCACCTGCTTGCATGTCTACTTCTAGTGTTTTAAATTAATTACTATTGCGTTTCAGTGATCATTTCTTCATTCGAAAGTTATGTAACTCGTTGAGAATTTATTATTAATCAATAAATATATTAATCTTCCCTTTGTCCTATATATTTCAATTGATGATAATACATTTGGCACCCATTTGATATGCAGCAATACAAATAAGTGTCAATATCAGAACAAGAACAATTTAAATTAGAAATTGAATGTGAATGATGAATAGAATATATATACACATCAGAAAATATAAAATGATCAAACTATAATTATTTTATTGTATTAAAAGTGTTGAATCAACAGAAAATGGGTTTTTATTGAATGTTTTACATGCCTTTAGCTTTTCATTTTTTAAAATAATCCTGACACACAAGAAAAACAGGAGATTTTTCATTAAGTTTTATTTGATGTAACAAATAAAGAAGTACTTTGTACTGAAAGTTAAGAAGATTGGACATATTTAGGTCAAATTTACGCTTTCATTGTTAAACTCACGTTGAAATATCAGTTGTTCATGACGAGCTTCCATCGAGATATTTGAGTTTTAAGATATTTTCCATCAACTTTCAATTGCAGAATTACTAGTGAATCCTTCGAGAAAATTTCTTCGAACTCCCAGAGAAATTTGTGAGAGACTAAATAAATTGTACATTTTAAACTCAGTATCAACTTTTCAAATAGCAGTAATTAAAAAAAAAATAAATTGTTTATTTTCCATGTAAATTGATCTTAACAGCAACTTCGAAGCTAAGTATAATTTTATTATTTATGAAGGAAGAGCCAAGGAAAAGTAACCTCTCCTCTAACTAACGAAAGTCGCATATGAATGCAATGATAAACAATATTCGCTACAATCCGTTTACATGACTGATTATTTTCATCATTTGTTTTCGAGATATTCCTATGAAATCTCTAGCGAGTTCCTTGAAAGTCTTCTAATAGTTCTGAGGAAGTTGCTGTCGTGATTAACTCACGGAGTTTCTTCAAGAGACTCTCTAGAGATTCTTTGAAGAAGAGCTGACTTCAGATTGAGAATATAGATATGAATACTAGACGACAATTCATATTGAGTATATTCTTGTATAGTGAACTGACAAGAATAGGTTCACAAACGTGAACATTCGTTTTTGATCGGCTTTATGCCATTGGAAGAGCTTGATGAGTTAATCATGATGGCACAATGCATTCTTATCCATAGACTTCCTATGAGGAATTAGATCGATATCAACTACAGAATAATGCTTATAAGCTGCTACTTTGGAAATTTTAATTTTCATATTAATTTTGGTTTCAACATAGAAAACTTTATCCATACATGCGTTTTAATTGATTGTACACATCCACACAATTAAAATAAATAGAAGACCTAACTACTTTTATACTTTGAATATTTCAATGCAATTAATACTGTTGGATGTACGAAATGTCACTAATTTTTCAAAATTCATTTAATTTCAATTGTATGTTCGTCTATTTAGGATATATATTAAAAATACATGTCAGTCATGGTTCAGTCACCTTCATTACCTATTGTACTTTTTCATACGAACATGCGAGAAAGCAACTGAATGAAATGAAAACTATTGAAAACGAGATATTTGACAAAGTTTTAATTACTGGACCTTTAAAAAGTACGATTCCCGGAGAATCTCGATCATTTTTCAAAAAATAATTCAATTCCGTACATCCGCATTATTAATGTTATTAAAATATTCGAAGTAGAGACGTTGTTAGGACTTTTATATATGTTGATTATGTGGATGTGTTCAACAAATTAGGACACACAAAGTAATAAAATTTTAAGTGTGGTGAACTAGATTAACAAAGAAATTAAAGTTTCCGAAATAAAAGCTTACAGTCCTTTTTTCTGTAGTTGAGATCGATCTAACTTCTCAAAGGCAGTCTATGAGATACAATGTCTTGTGCCATTGTGATCAGACTGTCGAGCTTTAAAAACTGACATAAAGTTAATTGAAAAATGGAGACTGACACTTGGGATTCATTCCTCGTTAGAAATTTGAATAGCTTCCTTAGTCTTATCTTCTAGAAGTCATTAGTCCTGTATGTTTGAAAAAAATTAACCACCTATTTCTGGTTAGAAAATGACAGATAATTTGAAACTGGGGTGATGTGATGTACTTGACGGAAGATTTGTTTTTACTGAATATGACAAGAAAATGAAAACATGCTAATCTTAGATTCTTATTTAATTTTATTGTCGTGCTGCAAAAAAATTTACAATAAAAAATATTTAAACTAATATATTATAATAATGAAGAAAATATTGGATATCGTTTAGTTTTGTCAACTTTTGTAAGTTGAAGTTCATTTAACCATATATATACTACATCGTACTCAATAAGATCTTCAGAAAATAAAATTATAATCAAATAGTGAACAAACCCATATATGATGAAGATTTGAAAAATTTATTTTAAATTGTGGTATCGATTTCGTTACCTATCAGTTTTTTTCATACAGATAACTATTCAATTATCTCTGAATTATTTGTTAATAACGTATGTTCTTACTAAGAAAAAAAGAATATTTCTTCAACTTTATTACTCTCAGAATAATTTATATCATCATGAGATCAATGAATTAATTTGAGAATCAAAAAGTTTTTAATTTCGGAAAAAAAAATAGAAATATTTCAGTTAAAATATAAGAGCTAGGAAACGAAATGAACAGTAATCGTCTATTAAATATTGACAATCGATGATCAATAGCACTTCTAAATATGACTTTCATGTAAAATCAATTGATGAGAATGATACAATGATCATCTACGAATGATTTTTATTCAAAAAAAAAGAAAAACAACAAATGCTACAGGTGTACCGACATGAAAAAAGAAACCAACAAAAGTTTATATATATCAAGATCCGAATAATTTATCGATAACTTTTTCTTTCAACGTTTTCGGTGTTCTGAAAATAAAAGATAAGAAAAGAAATAGAAAAGAAGTAAAAAAAGAAAGATTAAGCGTACGGTTTTGTTGCAACTGGTGTTATATCAATTGGTTCATTGTTTCTTTGTCGTCGAGAAAGTTCGGCAATAAGCGATTCACGAAATAATTCTTTCCATGGTCGAACTGATAGTTCATATTTTTCATCTTCTTCTTTTTCGAGTTTCTCTAATGCATCATCAGGTAACAAACCAATCCAATCAATTTCTTCTTTCTAAATATTCGAATTAAAAATAAGAAAACAAAATAGTTGTAAGAAACATAGGCGGCACACTAATATCAATTTAGAGGAGGCTCGAAAAAAACTTTCAAATATTGCCAAGTGGGCGACGGAATGATCTCCTACGGTTAAGAAAATTTTTGGATATTTCCATGTAACAACAAATTTACATTAACTTGTATGAGCCCAGAAGTTATGTTCTGTCTATAATCGTCTCTTTTCCTTTGTAAATCGTAGATCTGTTACTGATTTCGAAGTATTGTTAACATTTGTTTTATAATTTTATTATAAATAGAACCTTTGCATTGGAGCATCGAACAGAATAAACCAATGTATCTATCAAATCTTGGTCACTTTTCGACCAATTTCTTGTCTGCTGTGCAATAAGAAGGATGCGGTTCAGTAACGACTTATGTACGAAAAGAACTTTAAGCAAGATTTGTTAATCTACTTAACGTTAGAATATTGCCAAACTTTCTAATGTTTTGTAAGATTCTAGTTGAAAAAGTAAATTACTAAATTTTACCCGTACATTCAATCTTTGTACTATTGTTCAACATAAACGTAGAGAC